AGGCTTAAAATTTTAAACACTAACCTCTGATGCACTACCATATGAAAGCTTTTGTTATTTATGACAAATTAAATCTGTCTACTAAGCTTCTTGTCTACATACAAAACATGCTAATCATGTACAGAATGTGTTTCACATGTGCAGATATTTGCAAGAAACAAGGATCAACAGATACACTGAGATGGTGTACCTGTACACATGTAGCAGTATACTTCTCCCACATGGATGTGATATATAAAAAAATGAGTTATAGGATTTTTCTGCCTTCTCAGACACAATTTTTTTGTGAATTAAAGTAACAAAAATTAGTAAACACCATACTATTATTAACTACTGTGAATTATAAATGCATCAAGAATGTTATTTGAGATTATTCATTTAAACTATGATATCTACCAAAAAAATTATTTTTCTTAACAAGAAGACAATATAAAGCAACTTGTCTTACAAGCCACAAGAATTTAACACTGTGAATTCTTTAAGATGCTTTTAACATGCTCATTCCAGTTGGGGTTTACCCATCATGTACCTAAACCTCAGTCTTTTCAGCTAGCAACTATTTACAGACTGTATAACAAATATGTATACAGACTGTAACATAAAGATATGTCCTGGCACCTTGCTTACAAATGATAACTCAATCTATGATGTATTCAGAAGAAAAAAGGCAAAATATTTTGTAAAAAAAATCCTGCTTTTCATTTCTGATAGGAATTAGTGGTTTATCCAAACTGGATGGAGAACTATGGCAGAGCACTGCACTGGAAATTACTGGCTGAGATGGGCGTAGGTGATTGTTGATGATCAACATCATGTTGTAGGTTGGTTTCATTAAAATGAATTAAAATAATCAAGTTTGTGTGTACAAGCATGCATATACCTCTAACAAAATGCATATTGATTTTCCAAGAGTACAAAATTTATTCTTAGGTAGTTGTGTAGTCATTGGCCAAAAAAGATTTGCAACAATAGATAGCTGCGTGAATTGATATGCATTTTATAGCTCACAAAGTATAACAATGCATTTCAGAAGTTTGGGGGTTTTTTAACTAAAAATTGTTAACCGCGTTATTTAAGACTAAGCAAAACATTCATTACTCAAACACAACCAACCACATCTTCATGCACACTTTTGTGTAATATCTCCTTTTGTTATGTATAAAATGATAAAAACATTGGTTTAAGAATAGTAAACTTCTAATTATTCCTGATAATTTAATGGACTTTTCTCACAGTGGTGATTAATAACATAATTAGGTAGAAGAGGAGAAGTAGGGAACTTTTTAGTAGTATTCAGTGCATTACTGTCAAAATTGGAAATGATTGTTCCTTTTACTTTATGACCACATTTTTAAACAAAAACACGGACACTAACTATATGTCTCAGTTTGACTGCAGGTAGCACATCTAACAAAAGAAATGCAGTACAGTTTCACCAAAAGCTCCCCTCTCGCCACATACATATCACCATCATCGTCCCACTCCCCTTAGCCCTGCAATGTTCTTCCCAATACTAGGAAGGTTGTAATTTGTGTATATATACAGTTGCTGAAATATGAAAAGAGAAGGAGAAAATATTCATAACAACTGAACAAGAGAGTAGAGACAAATACCCAGTAAGAAAAATAAGTAGTGATAAGAGATAAACACTGAATTTAAGTCACATTTAAGTTGCAGAGTTGTTTCTCTAGGCTTCCTCTGCAGTAAAAGTACATTTAGCTGAATCTCAGCCCTCTGAATGTACAGAGCCCAGGAAGATTAATTTCCTAATCTGATGGTGAAAGATATACATGATGAATACTTTCGCAGAGAATGTGCAAGATGTTTGAAACATACTCTATTATACACCTGAAAGCTATTTGTAATTCAGACAAAGCCTTCAGCAATTTAATTTCTAGGCATTCGTTTAGTACAGGAGGAAAAAAAGGTGTATTTTCACCAAGAAATGACATTTTTTCTAAAATTACTCTTTTGACACCCAAAGCTAAAAGAATGCATAGCAATCAGGACACTTTTTATTCTCAGTTTCTTTGGCCAGATTTTTATTTTCCCAAATTGACATAAAGATGTTTTCACACGAATTAAATTTCTCATAAGTCTTAATTGATGGAAACCTATGTTAGGCGGGCCCATATATGAGAAGATATTTTCTCTTAATAAAAAAAATAGTATTTCATCTGTCTGGTATTTAGAATATATTATGTGTGACACAGACAAGAAAAACAGGATTCTTAAAATTACTGCTCTTATTTTCTAAGTAAAATTTGGTCCTAACCATGTAATCCTGCTGCAATATAGTACGTTTGACCTGGATCCTTAGTGAACAGCACTCAGTCCTGTGTTGTCACAGGAAGCGTCAAGAAGGGAGCATAGAGCCCATAAGGCCTTAGGTAAATACACAGAAATATTGATAATGCAGATTGGAAGTCTTCCATCACCTACCTTTTGGCCCCTCAGCCAAACTGTGCTGAAATTTCCTACATTACACAAGGAAAAAGGCCTGTAATTAAGTACTCTTAAGAAGCTGAACTTCATTCCACTGAATCTCTCTTTGCTTACTAAAATGAAGCCAAGATTCTGATTATAAGCACGTGAGCGAGCTGCTACTGATTAGGTAATATAAATGCCCTTCCCCCTTTAAAGTGAATTTTTCCTCATCTCGCCTAAGAGATACATATACATGAAATATACACATAATGTGACCAATACCTACACTATGTTCTTTGCCTATTTCCAATTTAGAGGAAAAAAGTATTTCCACTCTCTACTTCCAACTGATACATCCCAGAGAAGTTAGTTTCTTTGTTTTGGTTTGGTTTTTTGTTACAAGTCAGACACCTTCATCAGTTTCCTAAAAGGTAATGCCTGCCAAAATTAACCAAATGAGAGGCAAAGCATGTACCAATGGTCTGAAATAGAAATCTTTTAAAACAAAGCAAGTAGGACAATACC